GACACCACACACTAAACCATGTCACCCACGGCTCTGTCCAAACTGGCCTTGCACACTGCCAGGGATGAAGCATCCACAACTTCCTTGGGCAACGCATTCCAGTGCCTCACCACCCTCACTGCAAAGAACTTCTTCCTTATATGTCACTTAAACTTCCTGTTTCAGTCTGAACCCAAGTTTGTTGGTTTGTTTTTTTTTTTCTTGGTGAGTAACAAAATCTCTCTGCAAGTAGCACATATTGCAGCTACGTCTCACCTGGTGAGAATGAGGAGGTACTCCCCTGGTTAGTAGCATTGCTTCCTACCCCCCAACACCAATTTGCATTGCAAGAAATAAAAGTTTTGCAAAGCAGCAGAATGTGTGCATTAGATGTTTCTTTACTGCTAAGCTTGAAGCACCTCTTCTAGAATTGCTTTCCTACTTAATTTTCCCTTAATTACTTTAAAAATGAATTCTTAGCTTTCTTCCACACTAGGAAAAGCAGTATTGTCCCTAATAGGAGCCTGCTTGCCATCTTATTACATACTATATCATCAGTATGTACTAAGACAAGTAATTATTTGGAAGATCAACAGGTCTCTGCAAGGCAGCTCTGAATCTCTTGTCCACCCAGCCTGTAGCTGTGCCTGGGATTGCCCCAACCCAGGTGTCGGACCTTGCACTTGGCTTGGTTAAACTTCATGAGGTTGGCATCGGCCCACCTCACAAGCGTGCCCAGGTCCCTCTGGATGGCATCCCTTCCCTCCAGCATATCAACCGAACCACACAGCTTGGTGTCATGGGCAAACTTGCTGAGGGCGCACTCAATTCCATTGTCCATGTCACCAACAAAGATGTTAAACAACACAGGTCCCAGCACCGATCCCTGAGGGACACCACTCGTTACTGGTCTCCAAGTGGACATTGAGCTGTTGACCACAACTCTTTGCATGCGGCCATCCAGCCAGTTCTTTATCTTCTGAGTGGTCCATCTATCAAATTGATGTCATGTGGGACAGTGTCAAACGCTTTGCACAAGTCCAGATAGATGATGTCAACTGCTCTATCCCATACATCAGTTCCATAGCCCCATCATAGAAGGCCACCAAATTGGTCAGACAGGATTTCCCCTTAGTGAAGCCATGTTGGCTGTCACCAACCACCTTGTTGTTTTTCATGTGCCTTAGTGTGCTTTCCGGGAGAATCTGCCCCAAGATTTTGCCAGGCACAGAGGTGAGAATGACTGGTCTGTAGTTCCCTGGGTAAATAGCAGACAGGAAAGAAATTCTGCCTTCAGAGAAAAAGGACCAACACCTTTGAGCATTACAGCCAGCAATAGGAGAGAAAAATCCCCCTAGCCTTGGATAATATGAGAGGTGGTGATAACCCTGGAGGGATGACATTGTTAACATGATGTGCTCTATATGTAAGAGGACATGTATAACAAACAACTGAAACCTGTTTTTTGTGAGATTTGTGTTTCACAGATTAGGTAAGAAGTAAAAGAAGATGGCAATACCACCATCTTCATAACTTATACATTCAAGATTAAAGAAAATCCAGTGCTCACAGAAGAGTCTTACTTCAGTATTATTCCGGTTAGCTGAGGAAAAAAGGCATCTGTAAATGCACAAGTATATTTAGAAGCCGCTGCTCAGTCTCCTACACATGGAGCCAGAGAGGTTAGATGCCAAAGAGGCTCTGATCTCTGACAAGTCTAGTGAAAATTGGCAGCAGGCTTTAATGCCCCCACTGAGGGAAAAGCAAGAAGTCAGCTGTTATCCAGCAGCAGCTGCCTGGCCAAAAGCACACATGTACTGGCCAGCCGATCACCCCACACACTGCTCTGCCCAAGCAGCAGGTCAGGGAGGGAGCCTGAGAAATGAGGGGGTGGGAAAGCGAGGAGAGCTGGGACAGGAGAGGGACCACAGGGTGCTGCAAAAAGGCGTAACAGACAGGCTTGGGAAGTGCTGGGACATTGAATGAAAAGCAGAAGGAAACCAGATTTTACTTGTTTTGTTCCTTCAGGAACAATCTGTCATTTAAGAAAGAGCACTTTATACTCAACCCTGTGCTAAGATACTGTATTCAGCAAGAAGAACAAGTATCAGCTATAACATCAGTATATTTCACATTTCAGCTGGGTGACCACAACACCTACATGGCTATAGAATACTTTTCTCCCCCTCTGAGGCTGCACTACCAAGTCTGAACAGATAATATCACACATTAAGACATTTTCTCTTGTATTCGTAGCACTGCTAGATGACAGTAATGTCGTTAGCTTCCTATTGAAAGGCATTAGCTATTGTTTACCCATGGGAAAGCACTCCTTTGCTTTCCACAAACAGTATAAAGAGTGAAACAGGCATCAACACTGGAAATATATCAGATATCATAATCATGCATTTCAAGGGAAATCTAAACTGCTCTTAATTCTCCTAAAGGGCAAATTCCATCAGCAAGCAACTTATGCTGAAACTGCAGAGTTAAAAATAAATGTCAGCTTCTTTTATGGCTTTGGCAGAAGAGCATAAACTGAAGAGGAGTAATGTGAAAACACAATAACAAACAGCTGGATTGATGCCATGAGGTGCTAAGCACTGTGCCTCGATGTAAGAACTAATTTATCCACTTGCTTACTCTTGCTCAAGTAAATGGTCTCCCTGGACTCAAACTGCAATTAAGCACGTTCAGCACTTAATTGGATGGGAGTAGAATGCTGGGCACTTTCTGGGACTGAGCCCACTGACAGCACCTTGTATGTCCACCAGACACAAGCAAAATCTATAACTCACCAAGAATAAAAGGTGAACCCTCACCCCTTCTCTCTCAAAACTTGCTTCTAAGCCAAAAGCTACCCTGATTCTACTCCTAGTCCCTTCTAGTTAAAAAAGTCATACCTCCATTTTTTTAAATTCTGATAGGGAAAGCAGGAAAGAGTCTCACAGAAAATCCTAAGAATGTCTTAGCTCTCAGAAAGTGTGCATTTTCTGTGAACAAGACAGGCTGGATCAAGATGGATGTTTTTTTCATGTTAGCCAGAGTCTCTGCCATCATGTATCCTTCAAGGTATGTGTAAAGCACTTCCCAGTTTCCCAAAGATCTCAGATAGAGCACATCTTTGTGTGCTTCATGTTAAGGAGGCAGAGAACTGGAGAGAGCCCTGGAGCAGGGAGAAGAGAGGAGGAAGAAACAAAATTATCATGGATATTAAAGAATGGACTATGGAGAAAGACTGAAAGGTTTCCCTTAGCAGCAAATGGCCCAGGAGGAGGTTAGAGTGATAAGATGGTGTATTGGAATAGTGTTCTCATATGTATAAGGTTGTTATAAAAAGATGATACTGAGCAGTTGCTCTCCATGTCCAATAAAGGTAAGACAAAAAAGTTACTCTCTCAGTTGACACAAACCAGCTTCAGAGTAGACTATTACACAGCATTTCTAATAGTGAGGTTAGGACCAGATACCTCAGGCAGCAAAGAAATCTCCTCTTCTGAAGGATGTTGATAAAAGGCTATACAAACACCAGTCAGTGACAATCTGTGTACAGACACTATCCTGCCTCAGAACAATGGGAATGGACTACATGACTTTTGAAGGTCCCTTCCAACCCAAACTATACTATGATTCTATGACTACATCATCCACTGTTCCAATTTTCTAGAATTCTTCACATCAGCAATTTCTGACTTCTCCTAACTTGCAAACCAGCTAACTTTAATATCCAGAGACATAACCAGTAATTACTGAGCCAGCAGTATAGGAGGAGAAGAGACTTTGTGTTTGTTGCATTGCTTGGTTGATACAGAATGGTCAGCTGCATTTCATTTATTGCCTGCTGTGAGTAAGAAATCCCCATTCACTATTCCAGCGTATTTCGCTCAGACAGAGGTTATTGCTGCCAAACAGCGGCAGCAGTCTTGGCTGAAGAAATTCTCAGGGAAGAACTCCCTGTTTCGCATCTCTGGAGTTAGACTTACTATTATTGTAGATAATACTACGCTTACTGAATATGGCTTCCTCACACACCAGCTAGCATAAGAAAAGATTTATTTTGGTATAGACATGCTGAGCTATTATTAAAAAAGTCCTAATGAGACATGTTTTGCCAATTAAGAAATATAGTGTTTGAATGGTAGTGCTACATCATTTAATTCCCCCAAAGTAACAGACAAGCTTTGATCCAAATACTACACTGATCACAAGTCAAGCTGAAAGAAATAGTCTACTCAGGTATTATGTTTCACAGTGTCAGAGAAAGGCCATGGTAGGATCCTTCCAACCATCTCTGAACAGACACACACTTAGCTATATTTATGGAATGAATAAACTGCCAGAAATTAACTAAGTTGTTTTTGCAGGAAGATGTCTATAATAGAACCATCAGCAAGTCTGACTGGAGGGATTCAAAGACACATAAATGAAAGCACCTATTCTGCTTTTCCATTACGAATGGTGTTGCTAAATTTTTCCAGAATTCAGTGCTAAAATTTCACAGGACATTTTCTGTAATGGTCCAGAATACAGAAAACTGCTTTGTAAAAACCAATAATGAGATAGAGTACTACTGTCATATCAGAAAATCTTATTATGTGAGGATTCTGACATCCATATAAAACAAAATATAGTATAATGGGGCATAATTGAGCTCATTCTACTTACCCACTCACTACACTCTCTTTACTATTTTCTGACTACAAACACAGTGATTGGAATAGGAGGGTGAAGGAGAGAAGAAGAAATGGCAGTCTATCCATACGATATTTTGTCACTCTAGTTTTAAACCAGTTAGGAACAGAACATGTACATTATGTGTTAGTTTTCAATAGAGTAATATAGAAGAAAGCCCTTCTGGATCACCTGCAAAATTACTGCTTTGCTGTTAACAGCCTACAAGAAATTGTTATTGCTAAAGGTTTTAATGAACATGTTTTGTCAGTAATAAAATTCGAAGACAGCTCTGTCAAACTCTGAAGTATAAAAATGCTCATAAGGAAAGGATAATTATCACTACTTACTGATTCCGTACTTTGTCCTGTAATATTCTTTAGTGAATTCATCACAATCACAGAGAATTATCTTCCTTCCCCACACATTAATTACTGCCCCTATTTTCAGGTCACTGTCTTTGTAAAATTCCTGATGCACTGCTCCTGTCTAATAAAAGAAGAACATTCATACAGCAGCACTATAAATCTCAGAATCCCACAACCTTCCTTAAAAATCTAGGTCATTTAGTGTGTGTGGTTTAAAATATAACCTTCAGAGTCCATTTGAAAGTATTTTTCACCCCATGCTAAGCTACCTTACTTTTACAAGCGTGGTATTTACATACAGTAAATCTGAGTAGTTTTCATTTGAGCTATTCTCCAGTGGCAACACAGTTTTATAAATAACTCTCTCTGTTGTAGAGAATAACAACCACAGAAATTACAAAAGCTACTATAAAGACATTCAACAGCTAGAGGCATTCAATAATATCTGACCTTACGATTGTCCACTATGTAACGGCCTTTGTTTCCTATTAAATTCCCCAGCACATTGAGAACAGTACGATCGGTGATTGTACCCGGCTGATACAGCCCGACGGGAGCATGCTGCAAGAAAAGAGACCAACTCTTATGACAGTTAACGGTGAAGACAGAGAACTCAATTGCCTTAGAACTAGCAGGTTTTTTACAGACTGACTGTAACTGTAGTATTTTCTTGGGAGAATTTTTAGTAAATTCTAAGTCAAGATTACACCACCAATAGCCAGCATATATGTCAAACACCAGTTCTGTATGCCAAAAGAAGCACTCAGAATCTTATTGTGTATCCAAGAGTAAAGTCTCCTGTTTCTTGAAAGCAGAGGTTAGCACACCCAAAACAGCACATCAGTGTCAACATCTGCTCTAAAAGCTATTATTTTGATTGGTCAATTATAAAAACATGCAGAAGACCTACTCAGGGTTGGTCCTACTGTGCTAACCACTGCACAAATATAGGAGATTCAAGTCAACATGATTCTATTGGCAAAAATGTTAATATTTTTATTTCTATTGGGAGTTTCAAAATGACAATAATAATTTAGCCCACTAACGTCATACTTAATACATGAGCACCTACATATTTTCAGATTACTAACAAACTGCTGATGCAGGGTAACCAAAGTGGGGGCTTCTTTGGTTTACCACCTTCTCTGACACCCCATGCACTTCAATGGGTAGAAGAGGTCTGTTTACATAGAGCCACTGCTAAACCAGCAGCTCGGAACAGAGGATGCACAAAGTGACAGAAGTGCAATATTTTGTTGTTAGGTTTTTACTATAAAATTTCTTGTACATCTATGGCATCACAAATAGATTGTCAGTATTAGAAGGCAAGAAGGGAAAAGATCCCCCAGTAGTCTACTCCAGCCGCGGGTTTACGTTATTCCATCATCAGGATCTGTCTGGAGTGATACAGAAGTGTATCCAGCTTGTTAATTTTATAAACATCATAGGTTACAGAGGACACAACCCTCTTGAAGATTTCTCTGAGAGAAGCCTTCTCAAATAAGCATCTAATTAATGCCTGAAAAAGTTTATTCATGGATTCCTATTTAACCAGCTTTGCATAAATTCATTTTAAGAGATCACTCTAGATTTGCTACACAGAAGTGATGTTATGGAATACTAAAACTGGAATTTTCCAAAGGTTCCAGATACCAGTCATGGATCAAATCTGAATTCACCTCAGTTTTACATTACTTTATCCATCAATACTAGTTAATCTTCTGGACTTCCATCACTGCAGAGCTTTATTAAAACATTTACCTTAATACACTAATACGGGAGAAAGGAAATCATAGGATGTCTTTCTGCCTAAATTCTCTCTCCTTTTAATTTAAGCACAAGAAGCTTAAACTCTTTTTTCCCATCGCTTATTGAACTGTCCCATGAATATGTGTGTAAAAATCATGCAATTTCAATTAACACTCTAATGACACTTTCTAAATATCATTACAATCCCAATACAGGTTTTTCAAAACAAGGCATTTAAGATTTCTCAATCAGCTGAAGAACTTATAATAAGCTGAAATTTTCATTCCTCACCTTTGGAAGCTTATCTCTTCTGAGGAAAAGTGGAACTGCATCCCGGCCTGAGTTTACTGGTACAACTTCTTTTATATCGATAGTATCATCAGACAAATAATAGTGTAGAACAAGTTCTCGTGGGTCACGAAACATGGATTCTGGGTCATCCCACACACAGAAAAAACGTAAAACATGTCCATCATGCTCTAGAAATTGTTTCAAAGTGTCAATGCGCTCATAAGGGCGAAATGGCGTCATACTATCCAGAATCTGCAGATAAAGGAGAAATTAAGAGAAACAGCTTTTCAATTATTTGCTCTTAAAAACAGGGTTCCAAACTCCAGGGTACCAGCTAATCTTATAATATGCTTTTTGGATTTTCAAGTAATGCCACACAATTACATTTGCACTATTTATGCCATCACCAAAGAACTATTTTCAGGGTTGCTGTGCCCTCAGAAAACAGATGAAAACAATTTTGAATTGTTTTGATCTTTGTTTTTCTTGCAATAACATCCTTCAGATCAGAGAATTGTTAATTTATTTCAATAAATTGTCCATGGTAATCCTATGACTACAACTCCAAATAGCCTCACCCTTCCCAATTTACTTCCTTGGAAATTATTCTTTATAAATGATCTGGCATAAAGAATTATTTCTTTCCTGTTTAGTGTCTTCTTTTTTTTTTTTTTAGCTTTAAGCCATAATTTATTAACCTCTGATTTAAGTCATACAGTTGACAGGTGCTGGGTTCGTATGTTCTCCTCTCCATATATACCCATCAGTCTGAAAAGGAATAGCAAATCTCCAACTAAAGATCTATTCCAGCTGATGTGATCTATGACAAAGGTCATCTACAGTCATGGTTGCTGCAAAACCAGTAGCACTGCCTTAAATTGTATCCCAGGACGATGATTTGAATCTGACGACTGCATTTACATACTGTTAGTTACAGTCATATATAAATGGTGACATGAACAGGGTGTTCAAAATCCATCATGTCCAAAATGGATTAAAGGGGCAAGACAGTCCTAACCTACAAAATTCTGCAAAATTACTTCAAAAGAAGAATGGTGGCAGTGTCAGCTGAACTGTCTGAACAGAAAGAACTGTTGACTACGAGTAGTTTATATCACTGTCTAAATATCTATTTATCCACGGATATATCTTCTGGCCTTAAAAATCTGAAAGAGAAAAGGCACATTCTTTCAGAACATCACATCTTAAAATAAGGAAAGCAGAACCAAGTTCTGCCTGCCAACATCCTTGCTGATTTGCAGTACTTGCCATTTCAGGCATCATCATGCTTATACGCTACAAGTCAGTTACTTTCCTTCCCAGTACCATCTTTCCTCCTTCCTGACCTTTGAAGATGCAATGAGCAACCAAATACAGCCACAGAGCCAGATAACAACAATAGCCATAGGGTATCATCTCCAACAACACAGAAATATGAATCTAAGGGATTTGCTACATTTTTCATTGGTCTCACTTTCTCATCGTATTCCTCACCTCCTTTCATACCTTCAGTTTCTGGCCATCTATTGGGAGTCTGGTACAAACCAATTTAATTCTGTTCAAAGCAGTCCAGAGCAATCTGCCCTCAATAAATAAAAAACTACCTTCCACAAGTTAGTCACAGGAAAGTGAGAGCATAAAGCAGCCATAACAATTTTTCTGTAATTTCTCAGCAAGTAAGAATATTATGACACAGATTTCAGTAATTCTGAGTCTTCTGACACTCTTATTTCTTAAACCTTTTTTCTCCTTTCCATTCTCTTTAGGCACACATATGCACAATACTTGAAGGTTTTGCTTGTTATTTTTACAAAAAAAACCCACCACAGTCTAAGCAGGTTATGCAGTACCATAGATAATGCTGACACAGCCTGCCAATATCAAGACGATCAATTTCAGCATGTGTTAATACACACCTGTTACCTACAAGATCTGAGTAAGGGAAAAGCAACCTATGGCCAGCCTGAGTCACCCCTCTGCAGAACCAGGAGATGTATTACAAATACTACTTTTCACTGAGGGACTGCAAAAAGGCTGAAAGCATGAATGAAGTGAAACCAACATGTTGGCCTGAGAGTGCCTCAGAGACATGCATATTGCTGTACACATTTCAGTCACAACCACCTTCCGTTTTTGCTGCTGAGAGCTGCAGCAGTTTTCTCAATAGGAGGATTAAGTTGAATGGAACAGACACTTAGAGTATTTGTTGTTTCAGAGTACTAGGCTGGATTTACCACAACCGGCTCTATATAGTGGGCCAACAGTCCTAACAGAGTCAGGTCAAGAGAAATTACAGTGCTGTCTGCACTCATATAGATCAAGAAAAACAGAACTGAAAGAAACTGCCACAATTCCTTACAGAAAACATCACTCCCACTACTATTCCCAAAGACCACAAATCCTGCAGAGGGAAATCCACATAGCATCTAGGAGCTGCAAGTGAGATTTTTCAGCAGGTGTGTATGTGTTCCCATATACTCATGAAAGAGGGAACTGCCTTCAAATAAAACCTCAAAACTCTTAAAAATGCAGAGTGCTGGGTTCTACGTAACAGAAGAATTTGCTTTACATATGCAAAGAGCTGTTAATAACATGTGGGCTAGAGATGAAAGATGACTTATGAATAGACCAAGTGAGTCTACAGGAAGCCATGGGTGTGCTTGAACCACAATTCCAATTAGATCTTCCTTTAAAGGTATTTATTATTAAATTAGTTCAAGCATAATCATAAGTAGAATATAGCATAGGTCCTTTTTTTTTTTTTTTTAGTTTAACACTGAAAGGTTTACTTTATTTTTACCAGTTAATTTGGTTCTGTTTCAAAAGGTGTGTGAACACATCAGCAGAAATTCAGTACTATGTAAGTACAGTAAGCCGCAGAATAAAATCTTTTAAAGCAAGATTTCTCTTGGGATTTATTATGTTAAAATAGCTACTTTCTATTTGCTATTAGAAAAGTATTTTATATAATGCATATTGCTGATAGCAATGGCGCTTCTATTAAAATCAAGTTCTCACTATTACTGCCTCATCTGACCTTTTGCCTTTCTTGGGTATACGGATCATCTGGACGACTTGCAGGAGGATTTAATCTAACTCCCATTTTCCTCAGGAAATTTTCTGTAAACTGGTCACAATCAGTGATCTTATATTTTCGGGCATAAAAGGTTACTTCTATGTTAATATTGAAGTGATCTATAGTATAGAACTGATCTTCATAAGGAGGTGGAAGTGGAATCCGATGCCGTCGAACAATAGTTCCTGTAAAATAATAATTAAATAATAAACACATAAAATATAATAAATTCATAGAGAAAATATCCTTTGCTCTAAGGATCTTGCTAATTTTCTATGCCTGTACACTCTGCAGTGTGAGGAGGGCAAGACATAACTAAGGTTAGAGAAAAAAATGCCCCACGCAGGAAAAAAGTGTGACCTGTTGAGCATGGAGGCAGGCGCATCCAACTGAGCTTCCTTAAGAAGTACAATGAAAGGAGAGACCACAGAGACGAGTTGGGCTGATTGCTGGGCTCTAGAAAAGAATCCATCTCAAAAATACAGAGCCAGGAACTCATAACCCATAGTCTAACAGGAACACTATCCAAAAGAAAAGGAAAGGGCAGGGAGGGAGGAGGAGAAGAGAAAAAAAGAGACATTTTAACTTTGTTAAAATAAGTACATACTTAAATTTTCTCATTGATGGTGTTTAAATGAAAGGACTGTTATTCTGAAAGCATTGTATTGTTTACATTTACCACATTAAAAGAGAAGGAAACTGCTATTGGTCTATCAGCTGAAAACTCACAAGTACCTTAGTGAATTGGGTAATGTTTCAAAAGTGCTCACTGCTGATGGTTAAGAGACTGGGGCATCTCTCATATGACAAAAGGTTGAGAGAGGTGGGTCTGTTCAGCCTGGAACAGAGATGGCTCAGTGTTTATAAATACCTGATGGAAGGGAATGAAGAAGATGGAACCAGGCTCTTCTCTGTTACGCCCACTGACAGGACAAGTGGTAATAGGCCCAAATAAAAAGATACACAATTTCATATGAGCACAAGAAAACACTTTTAACTGTGAGGGTGATCAAATGCTGGAACAGGCTGTCCAGAAAGATTGTGAAGTCTCCATTCTTGGAGTTACTTAAAACCCAACTGGACATTGCCCTGTCCCTCTGGCTCTAGCTGATCCTGCTTGGAGCAGAGAGGTTGGACTAGACAATCTTAAGGTAGCCCTTCCACCCTCAACAATTTTGTGATATTACAAGTATTTTAGAAACAACTTACAACCTACGGCCTCTGTAGGTTAAACAAACATCTAACTCAAAGGTTAAAGAAAGGTATGTGGCTGCACGACAAGCTATGATTTATTCCAAGTGAAGTTAGAGTTCACAAAGAACAGAAGATCAGCAGAGCTGGGACTGAACTTTTTTTCACACATTATGAGAGAACAAAAAGGACAACAGTGAAAGTTTTGCCACACCAATACCTCAATATAGTTGTGTGAAAATACCCTGCAGGGAATAAAAAGATGGTCCAGTCTTCAACCTTAGGCTCTTTGCGGGACTTACCAACCCTGACACCTCTGTAACACCAGCTTTATAATGCAGATAACTGCTGGCTAAGACCAGCAGGAACCACCAACCCGTATTATTATAATAATTCCTTGCCACCGTAGGTTCCCAACAACTTTAAAATTACAGTAATTATAAAAGGTACAACTTTAAGGCAACTATAGTAAACACACAAAAGTTCCAAAACTAAAAATAGTTCCAGTTCTAACCTAGTACTACAACAATAGTTTATTAGACACAATTATCTAAAAGGTCTATCTTATTATCTCTCACTACAGAACTGGATCTCTATCCAGTGCCCTTCAGCTATGCATCTGGTAGTATTTCCCACTGAGTCCTGTTTGATGATTTTCCAGCACTGCTATTTTGTTTTGGAGGGAGGTGGAGAAGGACCTGGAAAGAGAGGGAATAGAGGCAGAAGAGGAGGCAGAAAGATATCATTGTGTGGCTTTGTTTGGTGTTTGAAGGGCCTTATTCCTACGTTAGTCCATGGAAATTTATTATTGTTCATTTTATTTCCCTAAAGACTAATCTGTGTGGAAGTATCTTCCACTACCACATTATCAGAGTTTGTTAAATTCTAACTCGTACAATGAAAACATACCCTTAATTTTTCAGGGGAATAAAACAACAAAGCAGATTTACTTTATGTTCCCATTAAAATAATTATTTGAAATGCATTCAGCATCCTGATTTTTCACATGTACCAAAGCCGAAATCCTGGTTACTGACATTTGACTGTAAGATAAATTTGAACCTCTACCTGTTTAAACATAGTCATACGCATATTTAAGATGCATTCTCATGGAAATTTTAGTTAGGAAAACATGGTAATTAGCACATTTTAACACAAAGCCAAACTGCATTGCATTACCATTAACAAACCCAGATACTTTAAAATGTTACCTGATTTTGGCTAATCCTTGGGTCACTCCTAGAAAAATCAACAGATAATGCGCTAAGTCAGAACAGTCCCCACATGAATGCAAATCCTGTTGAATCACCATTTTAGTGAAAACATAATGGTTGACAATTTCCTAATATGAGCTATCTTCTGAGGGTATATTCATCTCAGAACTGGTGAGTAAGCCTTCAGCCAGTTTTTCATATCATTTGTCAAAGTATAATATACATGTCCATTCTGCTCCGAGGGACGAAAATTTCTTTCCTAATGGAAAATGTCTTGTAAAGATAACATCTGTAGCAATTCTTTGCTTTTATTAGGTATCACTGTGCCTGATCTACCCATGTAGAGGATACATTTTATATTGTTGAATTTGAAGTTTAATAAAAGCTGATCAGCTGAGGATAGGTCTCAGCATTTTTAAAATTGTCCTTCCTTCTGGAAAATAATTATATTTCTGCTTCTAGAAATTTACTACAAGATGTTAAATGAGGGTCTGGGCATGTGCAACACTCAAGCTGCTGAGGATGGATGGCTACTTTTGATATTTCTTTTGTCTTTTGTTAGTTTATTTATCACCACCAAGCATTATTTTAAATATTTGCATCTGGCCAGACTAAAGCTCTCCTATACTGCTCTCTTGTAAAGGGAGTTTGGGTACTGCTTTTCTCTGACAGTGGTGGTAGCATCGAGTTCCCACACCGTAATTTCTAGTGTATCTTCTTTCAAGGCTTCTGATTATTTGGCAACTACGGCATGAGTTTAAGAAGGCCTTCATAGGCCTTTTGACTATGGGGCAGATCACGAAGCTGGGCAGCAAATGATTTGGTCTCTTCTTCTGCACAGGTTTCTGACTACCTCTGTGCTACTCAAGAGTGCATTAGAGAGAGGAGAAAAATGGGTAACACTTGGAGTTTGTACGCTCCTTGACTGCTTGCACAGAAAGGAGGAGAAGCAACCACTACTATCCCTGCAACACGATAAACAAAGGAGCTTCATACATTCACTTATTCACCCGTCTGAGAACACAGCAAGGTCATGATTTGGCCACCATCAAGTATGGCAAAAGTACAATTATTTCAAGGCCTCAGGGGAGGTCTTAAACTCTTAGATAATGGTTATATTGGAGGAACTGACTGCAACTTCACTTTCCTGCTAGTACTTTCCTCTTCAGCCAGCTGGCCTTGGGAACCCAGCCAGCAGGCAGCTCCTCTCTCTTTTTCAGCTGGCTGACCTTGGGGAAACCAGCCAACTGCTCCACTCCAGTCTGGCTTGCAGGGCCTGGATTGCACTGGAAGCTACACTCAATCCCATGGGACACAAATGACCTTTTGATAAGACAGTACCAGCCAGCCACAGTCCTGTTAACTGGGAATTAGATCTACAAAACACTTGCACTGCCATATCTATTCTGGCTCTCTATGGGAGTATTTCTTTTTATATGGGAAAAGTAATTAGCATTCTGGCTCTGGAAGAACATTGTGGACTTTGTTATGTGGTTGAGTTTACTGTTCTCCTCTTCGCTCTCTATTCCATTATCTTTAGTTAGCTTTTGTGCATTCTGATTGTCCTGGTATTTTTTGCTTTGACTCTGGTTTCTCAAGTTCACACTGGCCTCTGCATTCCTCTGTATTTTGCACTGAATTTCTCTGTTTGTATAGATTTCTTCTAATGCTTCTAATATTTTCCAAAGTTTAAACTATAGCAAGGCAGTTTCCAAAATTAAATTAAGTTTAAATTTCCGTTATTTAGTAGCAGCCTTATCTGTACAAATCCATGTCCATGTACAGCAGCCAATTCCATAAAGCATTTTTAAAAGTCACCAAAATACATTTCTCACAGATCATTTACTTTGTCACTCTGAGATTTCATCAATGGTAAAAGCACATCTCTAACTTTTTTTTTTTCCCATAGCCAATTTGTTCTACTTTTGTAAAGTCACAACCAAAGTTAGAAACTACTCTTTGACAGCTGTTCCTTCACCAAATCTTCCTGCAATCCTTAAGCCTCTCCAAGTTTTTTTCTGCAAAGCCACAAGTACTACCCACAGTGGCAAGTAGAGTGGGAAACCACTACATTTCTCTGATCCCACCATGCCCAGGGACAGCCATTCAGACCATCAAGCTCTCATTTGTGGGTCATCACGTAAGCACTAGTAATCCCATGGCCTCAAGGCATTAACCAGCCAAGTTCACAAGATCTACTTTTGATCTATCCCACTACCTACCTACCTACCTACCTTCGATCTACCCCACCACTGCTATACCTATTCTTCAAGAAGGCTCCTGAGAACAGCTGTCTCTTTTACATCTTTTCTGCCGGTATAAACATCCAAGTTAAGGTTACCACCACCTTCTGTCTTCAGCAGTTCAATTCCACTTTTTCCATCACTGTTTTTTGCTATTCCTCCTGTACACAACCCCTTTCCTGCCACTGCAACACTCCAACTGTTCACACAGACTGAGCCTGCCCTGCTCCTGATGTTCCCACA